TATGGTATTTTAATTCTTGTTTGTTTTCTCATCTTCTGAATGTCATTCTGGGATTAGTGTGAATCTTTTAGCGCTCTAAAATACTCCTATAGTATTTTAACTTTATGTTTGGCTCTAGCAAATCCTAGTTGGTAAGTTTCAGACCTGTTGCACACCACAATCACTCCTGAGCACACGTTCATCGCATCTCGAATAAAGGTAGTTGATCAGGTTACATTTATTCCAGCGTACGATTACATAACTGCCCAGATTTGTCTGTAGTGCTCAACATCCAAAGACTTTTATTCTTGTTCTTCTTGTGATACTTGTGTTCGAGTGCTTAGATTCCGGATGTTATTATACTTTGGTAAAATATGGTTATATTTTAAAGTATAATTCTTGGTCAGAGTGTTTTATCCCTTTTGTATTTATAGGCTGTATATCTTTTATGAATTGATATACTTAGCTCACTATAAACAATGCTCTGATACCAATCTGTCACACCCCAAAACCGGAACGGCGGAAACGTTCTGGGGTGGATGACGTCATGTCAAGTATCACAACACATGCATTATAGTAATCAAAGTACAACAAAACATTGCATTAATAGTAATAGTTTTACAAGGTTACATTACAACAATTTAAAGTAATACAAGTAATAGAATAAATACAGCGTGGTACTAAGCTATCTTCATCAACAGCTCCGGGGATGTACCTGTCTAATGCTAACCTGAGAATACAAGTTATTTGAAAAGCGAGTATCAGCATTTTTACAATGCTGGTGAGTTCATAAGTATTTAGTGTCATTTAGTCAAATAACTTATAAAGTAGTAGTTTAAGATTTCAGTGTATTAGTGTTCTTTCCAGAAAATCCTATATTTTCTTTAATAAAAGCAGCCTTCTACCAAGACTGGTCAGTGTAATGTGGTAAGAAGAAGTTTCCCTTAATTGCTAATAATATCAAAATACTGAATTTGATTATTAAAGAAAGCAGAGGCATCAGGGAATAACATATGCCTCAGCAGTGAGGACTGCTGACTAAGGCAAAAGAGTCATAGACTCCAGGAAAGTATCGAACTAACGACACGCCTGGTTCAGTCTAACAAATGGAGAAACAGACCCCGAAGGTACCAAATGAAAGGTACAACTGGTAAGGTCTAAAACAGTGAACGCAGACCGAAGACGATACCAAATGAAGGTACATCTTGCAAGGTCATAACAATGAAGACAGACAGACGTACCAAATGAAAGGTACATCTCGCAAGGTCAAAACAGTGAAGACAGACCCAGACGATACCAAATGAAAGGTACATCTCGCAAGGTCAAAACAGTGAAGACAGACCACAGACGATACCAAATGAAAGGTACATCTTGAAAGGTCAAACAGAGATAACAGACCCAGACGGTATCAAACGAAAGATACATCTTGTAAGGTCAAACAGAGATAACAGACCCCAGACGGTATCAAATGAAAGATACATCTAGCAAGGTCAAAACAGTGTGACTCTGAAAAAGGTGACATCAGCATACAGTGTAAATCGCTGACGAAATACTGTTACCTTAAAGCCATGAATTATAAGGCAACCCAGGATACTCGTAACCATACTGACTAGAGTACTAGACGCCCTACAAGCATCTATATAATGTGACATTTGTCACCCCTTGGCTTGGTAGGCCGTGGACTGTAGCTAGCAGTCAGGGTGCGGGGTTGTCAATCCCGTATAGGCCTATACACACAATGTCCGCTCTCCCTACAGGAGACTCTGGTTACCAACTAGACGACGGAGAAGGCCGCGTCCCGAAGATGCATCCCAAATAGAGGATAGTGTGTTACTAGGAGGGAGTGGGTTTCTTATGTAAGTGTAGACTAGAGGTATAGACTCTTAACTGAATTGACTGAAGAAAACTCGTATGTCTATGCTCGTATATAATATATAACTAATGAATCGAACGACCTTCAGATGGACATCCGATCCCACCAGACCACATCTCAACGAAGAAAAGGAAATAGGGCGGACAAGCCTTCCTAAGTCCTTCAATCATTATTTATATGCATCTATACAAGCATAAACATACATCTAACTACGCTTGAGTGTGTATCATACAGTGAAGTATAAGTGTACAGTGGAACATCTGAGTCGTGAAGTATAAGTGTACAGTGGAACATCTGAGTCGTGAAGTATAAGAGTACAGTGGAACATCTGAGTCGTGAAGTATAAGTACAGTGGAACATCGAGTCGTGAAGTATAAGAGTACAGTGGAACATCGAGTCGTGAAGTATAAGAGTACAGTGGAACATCGAGTTCGTGAAGTATAAGAGTACAGTGGAACATCCGAGTCGTGAAGTATACGTGTATAGTGTGGGATAATCGAACCATGAAGTATAAGCGTACCAAGTATAAGTGTATCGAAGCGAGACGACAATAAGTGTGTAAGAACGTCTATCAAGTATAAGTGGAGTAAAGTCGTTATCCAGTATAAGTGAAGGAGAAATCGTATCACTAAGTAAGAGCGTAA